AACCTGTCGACCTGTTTTCAAAAAGAACCCGGTGGCGGGCTGTTATCAGGATTTGAAGTAAAAAAACAGTATTTTTTAATTGTTGAAGGGTTGGCTCTAAGCTCAATAATAAACCAAATTCTTACAATATCTGCATGGCGTGTTCTTGTGGTTAAAAAAATATACTTCCAACAGCTTTAACATGAACAATATGAGTAAATTAATGCAACATGTGGGCGAAGCGCTAACAAATTTCTGTTCTTTTAGTGTCTTTTCATGTATTTCTTATATGTCTGCAAGTCCCTGTCTATAATCCAAAATAGTCTTTCTGATCGAAGTCTCTCTGTCCGTTTTTGCCAGTAAGGGGCGTATCCAAGTGTTCCTCTTATAGTCTGCAAAAGTCCTAATGATAAGTCTGATATAATCCTTTTTATTATTTTCGTTATTCTTCTTAGGTTGTCAGGTTTCGTGTAACCTTAAATGGTATATGTATTGTAATACTCATGAGAAGTAACATATATACAGTTTTTTTTAGAGGATTAGTTAAGAATGACAGACTTTCTTTAAGTCGAAAACGAGAAAAAAAATAGAAATTCTATTAAAAATGATGCGCAAAGCGAGAAAGAAAAATGTTGGTATTTTTTTTAATTGACAAAATTTGATTTCAAGTTACCCTTTTATTAAAAGTTTACTGTAAAGGGACTAAAGACTCTATCTCAAGTTACCCTTTGATTATAGAGGTAGTGTCAGATTCACAACAGTAACCTTTAAACCTTTGTCTTAGCAAACATTGTGGAGTTATTCTTGTTTTTCAATTTAAAAATTTTTATAATGTTTTTATGTTTTCTATGTTCTCCATGTACAAGTTTTGTTTGGCAAATTATTAACAGTATTAAACACTTTTAAAGATGAAAAATTAAAGATATCTTTCCCATGATTGCTCAGACAAAAGAGTTAAAGGGTATTGTTGTGAATGAGTTATGCCCCTGTGTAAATAAAGGGTCGCTTGAATTTAATTTAACTTTCCCTTTAATAGGATTTCAAAGTGTTCCTTCAGTTTAAAGTTTAGAGTTTAATTTGGAAATATTTGCTATTTTTTGCCATGTATTGAATGCACTCTTGTATGCCAAGTCCATTAGCGTCTGATCCAATCAGGGTTCAGTCATGTGTTTGTTGTCTATTCTGAACCAATAGAAATAGTATGGCGGTAACATCTATCTTTCTATCTATCTCATTATCCAATTAGAGATAAATCCTTATATCGGCGCTATCAGTAAATGGAAATATTGATAGCCGGACGTTTCACCTTCTTGTCTTGGCGATTTACTTCTACTGAAACTATTGTGAATGGTGAATAGTTCTTGACTACACACTCTTAAAATAATTAACTGAAAATCATGTTAGCAGCCTCTTTAGCGAATGTAGTTAGCAATCATAAATCTATATATATATAAAGTAGTAATCTCTGTTTGCCTGTCTGTCTTTTTGTTTGGATGGATGTCCAAAAATAACTAATTAAACCTCTGGACCGATTTGCCTCAAATTTCAATAAGGGAACGCAGTAAAACCAAAGAAACACACTTAGTATGGTTTAAAAAGTCTAAGTTGAGTGGGTTGCCTTTTAAGGAGAAGACTCCAGGCAAACCTGAGTTCCCAAGCTAGGAATAAATATAGTAAGTAGTATTAAAATCATTTGTTATTATAGTTTTCCAGCTGTGTGTGACGGGGAAAATATTGGAATGGATCCAAAACTAAATATTTACATATGTGTTTCTTTTACTACTGCATCTTTAATGGATTTCTAATATCATTCTGGGACGACGGAAACCTAGAGAAAAAGTAGGATTTTCTATCATATTTGTAGCTTTTCTAATCCATCCAGGGGTGATCATAAAATCGGTTTTGTTTGTTTTACAAAAGAAAAGGTGTCTTTAATCTAACGGTTTGGAGTTGAAAAAAGTTCTTGAGGTATAAATAATAAACGATTCTTTTCCCTAGATGCAAGGGGTAAAATTCCAGAATTGATAATTATGTTTTGATCAACAACAAAAAATGTATCTAGTCCGGCTGATATAGTGATAGACTAAACACATCTTGAATTGAAAGATTAAATATTGAACACGTTAGATTACAGGTTAACCCCCCTCCTTAGTCTATTTTTACATCACAGCCTAATCTATTGTTTTCGTTTATTAGTCTATAAATATATTTATAGCAAAAGAGTGTTTTTATTTTAATTTTCCAATCTGAACGTCAAAGGTACAACAAGTTAAGCGTTTTTTTATTTCCCCCCATACAATATAATTCTTTTTCCTCAGCTCAAACTGTATAAAGTTTCTTAAACCTATCAGAAGCAATCAACTTAGTCTTATCTATCTTCTTCACCCTTATACTTTTTGACCCCCTCCTTATCTTATTCATGATTTATCATCTTTGTTTTGTTTAAGATGTACACTGTACAGTGTACGTCCATCTATTTATTTACAATTCTTATTCGCCTATAATGGGCCTTCCTATCAAAACAACCAACTCTGGTTAGGCGGGTCCAAACTGCATAGTAAATTGTGATTTGATATTTGTATTATCTCGTGCTTTGTAGTTGAATACACATATGAATATGAATAATATGAATATGATCATAAATATATCTAGCCCAAATTATAATAAAACTCGTATTAGATAATAGGTTAAACTGGATTTAGTCAATTCTGATGTTGTGATTCAAGTAATCCTCCATTTAAAGAGAGATATCCTGATTCACAACAGTACCCTTTAACATTAATATACTTAATAATTTGGAAGAGAGATATCCTGATTCACAACAGTACCCTTTAACATTAATATACTTAATAATTTGGAAGAGAGATATCCTGATTCACAACAGTACCCTTTAACATTTATATACTTAATCATTTGGAAGAGAGATATCCTGATTCACAACAGTACCCTTTAACATTTATATACTTAATAATTTGGAATATACCCACGCACCCCTGACCCTCTAGTAAAGATAAATTCAACCTAAAGCCTGACCGCGTCAACCTTGTTGCACCGGCTATTCCTATTGAGTGTCTGCTTTATTTACCCAATGTACGGGCGATACAGTACAAACTGGGACCGGAAAGGTTTCTGGCTCGAAAATGTTTTCTAATATTGACAATTTTCTTGATTGTTTCTTTTACAGAGAATGCTGCACAATCAAAATTAATAAGTTAAAAACATGGATATCTCATTCATTAAACTGATCATACAACGCTTTTAATGGTACATTTTTGAATCTAAAATACCACACGTTTAGAGATGGTTCATTATTTGAAATCTCGTTTACAATTCCTTTAAGCTTAAAACACAAAACAAACATCCAGATATTTTTTTATTTGCGTATCAATTCACTCTTTATCACTTTTTCACTATGTTGCTTTATCAATCTTTTATCTTATTAAATGTTATCATCTTCATTTTTAACGTAATATCACATCAATTTGTGTACGGTATGCACAATAGCTCGCACATGTTTCTCAATAGAAACGTTGCCAAAACTATAATCTTTATTATTTTACATCTATATATAAATTTGGCTTGTCTGTCTGTCTGTCTGTTTGTCTGTTTGTTTGTTTGTTTGTATCCAATAAACGTCAAAACGGATGAACCGATCGGGCCCAAATTTTTTGTGGGACATCTAGGGACTCCAGGGAAGGTTTATGAATCATCAAAATTTCAAATATTTGTCTCCATCAAAATTCGATCGTCATTAAATTTTTTAAAATTTTGAAAATCCGCGAAATTTTTTGTGAAAATCCGCGAATTATTTTTGTTTTGTTTTACGATGTACACAAAGAGAACATGTTCACAATTAATTTAGGAGATGGGCGCGAAGCGCCCTCTAAGGCTAGAAGGAAGGGCGCGAAGCGCCTTGAATTTCTAGTTTTATAGAAATCATAAATAATGAGCTTGCTATTTCTCTATATATTTTTTCTTTTAATGGAAAAAAATTTGGCGACTACAAAAGTTTCAAACATTTTAGGTCAGCTTGTGTAAGTCTAATTGTTTAAATCAATTTTCAAATCAAACCTTTTTTTGGCGTCCGAATGCAAAGCACTAGCGCTAATGTACTTTTTACTTCGTTGTCAATGACATCAAATTGTATTCTCCAATCTAGCTGAAAATTTATTACATTTGTAAAATTCTTTTTAAAAGAATTCTAAAACTGAATTGATGCTTTCATATCTATATTGTCATATAATGCTATCAATGAAATATATGTTCAGTTTAGTGATCATATTTAGAGATAATAATAAATAATTAATTACGGGGTTACCCATTAAGACTTCAGAAACGACTGTACGGAATTTATTTTGTCTTTTTCCTTTATCTTAATAATTTTCTGCTCCTGTAACCTTATTTATTTTCTGCCAAATCATTTAATAATAAAATAATTAAGGCAGAAGACTTAATTAACATTGTAGGATTGACATATTTTAAGAGTTTCAGGGGGTCTTTACAGTCGCAGTCTTTGTGTATCTTTGGGTAGAAATAAAGAAGATGACAATCAATTTTCTTAATATTGTCACAATTCGTGTATAGTACAGAGTGTCCCACATCATATTAGATCGTTTATAGCACAAAATTGTGATTTTAGAAACTAATCAGAAAATTTGAAAACAATGAATCATTTTTAAAAAAACATAAAAAGGTTTTTATGAAAGTTTTGGTATGTTTTTCGAGAATTATGTGCGTATTTTGGCGTTAAAGCTCGGGGATAATCCAATATGATATGGGACGCTCTGGTTATCTACCAGAAAACCAGAAAACTCTGTAATAGGAAGACGACTTTTGAGACTTTAAATAGACCAATGAGCTTGGGACACAGCAAGTGCACAGTGAAAACAGACAAATTTCACTTAATTAGTTATTTAATAAGTGTCTGGTAAAACTTTTTGCTTTGTAACAACCTAAACTATTTAAGTATTGCAATAAAGTCGTCTTTCTATTTCAGAGTTTTCTGGTTATCACCCAATACAAAATAAATGTGAACATTATACATTTCAGACGAACAGAAATGAACGATGCACCAAACAAATCTGGTGTACATCGTACCGTCGTATATCGTACGTTGTACAATCCTCTTATGTACACTGGCTGGTAGCACTTTAAGTAGCAATGTTTACACCACCAATAGGTACAATACAGAAGACGACTTATGATCTTAAATATTCCTGTAAACATTAAATTCAATTACATTTAATAACTTATGTTTCAAGCTGTTGGGAACACTTGTTAAGATTACATTTATGATTGTTTAACCGCCACATATACGAATACATAGCAAGAACGCATGAAATGTCGTCTTGAAAATATTTAAAATTTATGACAGCTGTTTTGCTTCATAATTGATGTGCACAAAAAGAAAGTTGCAGAGATGTTTCAAAGGGTTGAATAGACGATTTATGAATATATCCAAATATTATTGTTTTTGATAATTCTTAAGAAATTGTTTTTTTTATTTTTTATTCAAGGTAAATTAGCAGCCCTGAAATATGCAGGACAACAATTGATATAGTGAACTCGTTTTCCACGGCATTTAATCTTAAATATATGAATTGAGAATACGACATTATGAAAACTCTTGCTTTGTATTCATATATCTGGGGTTCACTGTATATAAATACGAACAAATATAATATAATATTGCTTTATGTTTTTTTAGCTTGGAAACCTTTTGTTACAAAGATGGTGCAAAGCGAGAGGTTGCAATTTTTAACAAGTAAGATTTAATAATTTAACATTTACAAGAGTTGACCATCGACCACAGAGAATAGAATATATATTAGAGGGGAATTTAAAGAATCTCTCGGTATGAATTTTTTCAGTCCCTTTCAGCCTGAAAGGGAGTTCAAAGTGTACAAATCATTTAAATGTTCAGAAATTATATGCAGTAGAGTACATTAATACTGTATGTTCCCTAGACTATTCATTTCAATTTCGAATTTTTTAAACTGTTAAATAAACTTTATAAGGAATAAGGTGAATAAAAACATCATTTGATTTATAGTTATAACGGAAAATCATCGTTTGTAAAGTAAAAGGCATAGAGTCTATGTAAAATGATCATCGGTCAATTATGAAACCAGCCTATTTCATAATTTGGTTTTCTTTTAACAATAATTTTAGATTTTCTATAAAATGATATTCCAGGGCCCAAAAGATTATATAGCATAAATATGTGAAGTACACCTGCAGTATGGAAACAGTACAACAAAATGGACGTTTTACACTTTTTTCTAGTAAATTCCCCTCTAATATATATTCTATTTTCTATGCCATCGACCCTCATCATTTTTTGTGTGAACAAATTTTGAGTAGCAATTAAAGAATGTCTAAGCTGGAAAAACGATGGCATCTTTCACATTATAGATCAGATCAAGGTTTCAATGGTGTAAATCAGGCTTGTCCCTCTTTTTTATGGAGGGTCACTTATAATTTGGAGGACAATCCCTTTAATAATTCAAATCAAATTTAAGGCAGGGTATTCTTTAGGAACAGTAGATATCAATGTGTTTTCATATTATTCAATTTGGTTATTTTTCTATTATCTTATCAATTTATAATTCTTACATTAAGATTTATACAAATGTATAGACCCCAAAAAAGAAATTTTCACTCCACAATTCTCTATATTAAGCAAGGTACTAATGCAAGGAAAGTTATTTCAGAGGTGCACGCATTTTTTGTACTGCAGTGTACTGTCTTTGCGCGGAAAAGTAAACACAAGACGAATTTCGAAGCCTGACATGGAATCCATTTCCACAAAATAATCTATGAAATATTCTGGTCTTAGGAAACTATTATGTGAATTTTCAAATTATCAAAATTGTATGTTTTTATCCTCCTCGGATACTAGACGAACACGATCTATTCTTGTTTACAAATTCCGCCCAGAGAGAACTGGTTTTAAAATGGACGCAGAGTATACGCGACCGCAATTAACTTTCCTTGCATTAGTACCTTGATATTAAGTTTCAGACTTTGTACAACAGTGTACAGTGAATAGTGCAGTACACTGTTCATTGCCTTTAGTATTCTAAAATATTTTATATAATGAATCATCAAATTCACAATATTTCAGCTTGTTTTTGTTCTTTGCATGATTCACCGTGAAAGTTTAAACCCTGCCCGTGTGAGATGCACGCAACCTCCATAAAAATTTAATTGTCTCAAAATCAAGATTTTAAACTTTTGTTCTATGATTGTGGAATTGGTTTTATATGATGTTTTATGTTGTCTAGACTTAATGAAATCAAGTGCAAAATTTACAACATAACCTTGATTTTCCTATTTATCTTGTAGAAGAATATGTCACCGGATGTTGGTATACACGATATCTATGTTTACACTAAAAAAACACGTGTGATATAAAAAACAGGAATGAAAAAATTAGCTGTTTGCGTTTCACTTCACTTCACAGTAAATTGAGTTCCAACAACTCAAATTTGTTAATCCCCATATTTTTACAATATTTCGGTGTAAACCTTTGATATTTCAAACATGTCATTTGATCAAACAGAATTCATAGTTTGAAATATCTAAGGTCTACAATATTGGATTGCAAAGAGACAGGGATTAGAAAATCAGAGTTTGTTGTAAGAACTCAGTTCCGCTACATCTACACAGCTAGAAGAGACTGTAAATGTAATTTCACGTTACCCTTCATGCCATTAAGAAAGGTTTGTCTGTTAATGTAAAAATTATATGTCTAAACTCATTTTTGGGTTCTCTACAAAAAATACAAAATAATGACAAAATCAACGGAATTGGACACTTGCCAGGCTACTAGAAATAATTGTTATCTTCTACATTATTAATCAGATAAAGGTTTCAAGGGTACCGTTGTGAATAAGGCTGTCCCTGTCTAAATGGAGGGTCACTTAAAATTACAACGATAGTCCCTTTATTCTGAAAAACAATAAAGAACATGTAATTTTCCTTGAAATGAAAATTTCCTTCCTTTTCTCTGATGAATAAATCCACAACTGCTATTGTATTGTATTTAGATTATTTTTCAACATCTCCGCAAACTTTAGTAAAATGAAATTAATAGTTTAAATATTTAGACCTCACATGTACGTGTTTAATTCTACAGTCTCCACAACCTTCAAGTGTCATTTAGAACTGGAACAGCAGTCCAGGATTTCAGGAAACCAGTCAATCTTGATTTCTTTATTTCTCTATCTCTTGATCTCTTGATCTCTTGATCTCTTGATCTCTTGGTATTTCCATTCTTTTGATCTCTTGATCTCTTGATCTCTATATCTCTTGATCTCTTGATCTCTTGATCTCTTGATTTTTTGATCTCTTGATCTCTTGATCTCTTGATCTCTTGATCTCTTGATCTCTTGATCTCTTGATCTCTTGATCTCTTGATCTCTTGATCTCTTGATCTCATATTTCTTGATCTCTTGATCTTTTGATCTCTTTATCTCTTGGTACTTTCATTCTCTTGATCTTTTGATCTCTTGATCTTTTGATCTCTTAATCTTTTCATCTCTTGATCTTTTGATCTCTTGATCTCTTGTTCTCTTGTTCTCTTGATCTCTTGATCTCTTGATCTCTTGATCTCGATCTCTTGATCTCTTGATCTCTTGATCTTCTCTTGATCTCTTGATCTCTTGATCTCTTAAACTTTTGATTTCTTGGTTTCACTTGATCTCTTGATGATCTCTCGATATTTTAGTCTTTTAGTCTCTTGATCTTGACTGGGTTTTGTTCAGCTGGTTTCTCTGTGTATATCCAGTCTATGGACTTTATACAAGATGAGGAGTGTTCCAGAGATTATGTTCAGTTCGGAAAGTAAGAATATTTTTAGAATCTCTTAAAATACATTTTTTTTTATTTAGTGATGAATCAGTTTCCATTTCTAAAACTACTGAAATGATTTTGTTTTGTAAAGTTTTGACAATAGAAACTTGGGACTCAATGTTTGACCAGCAGTTTCACTTCTTTAGCCTATCATTTTTCGGTTAAAGTTTGAAGCACTTAAATTTTTTTTCTTGTCTTTATGCATTTTTTATGTTTGGTTAAGAGGGTTTAGTTTCAAAAACAATATCTAGTGCTCTGTAAGCAAAACCCCGACTATAACTATAGTGATGCACTGAGTCCATATATGAATTTAATAGAATAAATATAGAAAACATCAATCAGAAATTAAAACCTCAAACCGGAAATAATATTGCTTTCATACATATGTGTAGAGTTACAAGAACATTCCCCCCCCCCCTCAATGTAAAGATGTAATAAATGTAATGTAAATGCTGTCGTGTCATGGAAATTTCTCAATTTCCTATATGGGAAATTTTCCTGATACCCAGGCATTTGGGAAATTTCCTAAATTCCTGGGTATCTTGGAAATTTTCAGTCATTTGAGAAAGGAATTGAGTCTTTGCCACAAACTCTGATTTTCTAATTACTATATCTTTGGAACCAAATGTTACAGACCTTAGATATTTCAAACTATGAATTCTGTTGGATCAAATAATCAGAGTTTGAAATATCAAAGGTTTACAACATCGGGCTCTAAAGATATTGGGGTTTAAATATTTGATTTCGTTACAAAGACTCAATTCCACAAATGCCTATAGGTTTTTGGGAAATTTCCCAGGTACCCAGGCATTTAAAAAATTTCCCAAATTCCTGGGTTTTTGGGAAATTCCTTTTTTTGTCATTTTTGATAATTGCTTTCACTCCCTCAATGTGTCAAATAAATTTTTAGATAAACCGCAATTGAAAAAAAAGGTTTTATGAAGAGAAATCTTGATTACAGAATTAATTCTTGATCAGGGATAGCTTTTAAGAATACCTTTGCAAATTGGACCTGCCACATTGAAATACTGTGTACAGTCCCTTTAAAGGAATATTGTGATACCCACATCAGTCAACAGATGTAGTGCGTATAATATACAGCTTTTGTATATCATAAAATATGTATTCATCTATACATGAATTTAATAGTTTTCTTACCACATGTCCACATCGCTCTTTTGGAATAGTTTTTTATTTGTTGGGACGGGTCGATTTATAAAAAATAAACTTCATGGACTAGTTTCTTGGAATTGAATAACAAAATCAAAGCTTGACGGTTGGATGATAAAAAAATAAAGTTTCCAAGAATTTATAAAGGATCACACCTTAAGATTATTCACTCTACCAGAGGGGAGAAATATGGGGCTAAAAAAGTAAATAAAGTTAAAAACATTTTTGTTTCAGGGATGTTCTCTTTATAACAACATCGAAAAGTAAAAAATTTTGTGGCCATATTCCACCACCTGTACAAAGGCTAAATGTAAGTATTTTTTGTTGTTATTTATATTAATTAAAGTCATAAGTCGTCTTTATTAAGTATTTTGCATTAGACGTCAGTATTTTGAAATTTGTAATAAGTATTACTCAAAAAATGTGCTCTAAACATTTGTAGAAATAAAGCATCAGTTTTATTTTTGATTTATTGTCGACTTTTGTTCTACTTTCTACTGATTGTGAAAAAATCAAATTTACGCCATCTTACTTACTATTTTTCTAAACCATGAACAACCATAGATAAAGATAGATTGCGCATAAGAAGACATTTTTCATCTTGAAAGATATAAATGTAAAGAGATGTTTTAAAGCTATTCCTGTTATATAGATTAACTAGGTCGGTTGTGAACATTGGATGTTCTTATGTCATTGAGTACTTGTGGTGTACATGAGTTCTGTAGAGAGAAATTTAAGTTAGTTTAGTCCTTCTCATGTCCTTCTTCAGTTCTCGTCAATATGATATATTGATCAGTGAAATATTGTTGTTCAAATAGTTCCATTCCTGGAGTTATTTTACACTCTATTATGAAATCCATAAAAACACCAAAACAACCAGCTTATCATTGAAGTACACTTTGACCCCTACAAGTTCGCGGACTGTACAATTCTTGGTGATTTTGCGTACATAAGCTATCTATGTTTATTTATTTATCTATGTGAATAACAGTTATCAACTTCTCATAAACTGATATTCTTACGTTTTATCGTATTTAGGGTGAACTTCACGCAGGGTTCGAACCAGATATACATACAGAGAAGAGAAAACATAAAGAAGATTCAACTCTGGAGATGGATGTTTGGATAAAGGTAATTTTCAAAAATTGACAATTAGCTGATAAGCAGCTGTACAATACCTCTTCATTTTTTTAGCGCGTTTTTTATACCTACTTGAAAAGTTAGGGAGTGGTTTAATTGAAAAACTGAGCCCACAGACTACAAAGACTGTTTATCTCCTTTCACAGGGTGGGCTTCGTTGACCTAACACAAAATGCTTCGTCTTTACGATAGGTTTTCAGAATGCAATCTCACGGCCATTTGTTGCATATAAAACCCATTTAGGGGTTAAGTTTTTACAAATTTTAAAGAAATACTCCAATTTTGAACATGAAGCATAACATTTATGAATTCAATCTTTTTTGAAGATTTTGTGTTTCGTATCTAAAGGATCTTTAAATATTCATTAATATAGATGTTTGCTGATTGGTCGTGTATAGTATTTGTACACAATAGAACATGCTGTGGAAAATATCGCATATCATAGATTTCAATCAATCTCTGTAACTCTCTTATCTCTGACTGAGACCGGATAATCTTGATTTTTAGTTTATAATAAATGTTGAAAAAGTTAGTATGAGTTAGTAAAAACGTCGTGTGTGCATCAGTATTGTCAAAAAAAAAACAGAATTTTGGGCCAGTGTTACAATAAAAAATGATAACTGCAAAGATTACAGTTCGATACAATCAAGACTGAAAAATTTAAAATTTACTATGGAACGTGTGAAAACTTACAAAGAAGAACCCTACCATTAAGAAAACATTAAGCCTAGAAATATGCAAATAAAACTGCAAAAAATTAAAACTCAAGGTTAACTTTTTCTGAAATATATTTAATACATATTGAGTATAAAGTTCAAGTTGAAATGACCTTGAACATGATAAAAAGTGACTAAACAGAAGAGCACAAAGAAACGCAAAGATTGAACAAAGAAAGTCCATGCTATGATTGTAGAATTGAAAATAAAAGAAATACAGTGCAATGCAAATGTGCATGCCTAAAGTTCTGTGTCAAGATTGTCAAAAATGGTAAAACTTCAGATTTAATAAAAAAAAATACATTTCCGAAATCTAAATTTTAATCGGTTCAATCGTTTTGACATTTAATGTTTCACATGAATGATGTCTCTGAAAAAAATGTGTTTAAGGTTTTACTGTGCTGAGAATATAATATATTTAAATTTGGAGTTAATTACCTAGATTTTTATCTGCTGCAAAATAGATAAACTTGTATCAGGTAGATTATCAAAAAAGTGAAAAAAATGTTTTGTTTAGATTGAAGGTGGAGGTAGGAAAGAACTTGTTTTAATTATAACTCCGCACTCTATGTGCAGCAGAAGAAGCACAGGAACCAGGTAAACAATTTGATACAGTGATCAACAAAATAAAGTGACAATCACAAAAAAGTCATCTTTTTGTATCGATAGACATAAAAATAGTATTGATCGAACTTTTCAATATTTCGTACACAAAGATAGAAGACTATTTTTTTGAGTTGGCAGAAATATTCAAAACAAAATTATTTGATTAGAATCATAAATAGTAATTGATTAAATTTTTGTATGATCGGGCCATGTCCCATGCAATTCATCTGAATGTATCAGCTCTGATTTATTGATTGAACATCTATATNATTATTATTATTATTATTATTATTATTATTATTATTATTATTATTATTATTATTATTATTATTATTATTATTATTATTATTATTATTATTATTATTATTATTATTATTATTATTATTATTATTATTATTATTATTATTATTATTATTATTATTATTATTATTATTATTATTATTATTATTATTATTATTATTATTATTATTATTATTATTATTATTATTATTATTATTATTATTATTATTATTATTATTATTATTATTATTATTATTATTATTATTATTATTATTATTATTATTATTATTATTATTATTATTATTATTATTATTATTATTATTATTATTATTATTATTATTATTATTATTATTATTATTATTATTATTATTATTATTATTATTATTATTATTATTATTATTATTATTATTATTATTATTATTATTATTATTATTATTATTATTATTATTATTATTATTATTATTATTATTATTATTATTATTATTATTATTATTATTATTATTATTATTATTATTATTATTATTATTATTATTATTATTATTATTATTATTATTATTATTATTATTATTATTATTATTATTATTATTATTATTATTATTATTATTATTATTATTATTATTATTATTATTATTATTATTATTATTATTATTATTATTATTATTATTATTATTATTATTATTATTATTATTATTATTATTATTATTATTATTATTATTATTATTATTATTATTATTATTATTATTATTATTATTATTATTATTATTATTATTATTATTATTATTATTATTATTATTATTATTATTATTATTATTATTATTATTATCAATAATTTTTTCAACTTCTAAGATGTTTTTTTTTTCTTTTTTAGGATCCTCCAAAATATTCAGATATCAAATAATATTCTCTGCCATCCACCATTTATACTTTCCTTCGCCGCCAACCTGTATCTTTACGTATACTACATTACTCCTCCGCCCATAGTATACAGGGTGACCCAATAAGCATGTACAAAAGTTTATGAATGACAGATCGTTCTTTAAAAAGATTTTTTGTCCTCTTTACTTTTCAACTTTTAGTTTTAGCTTTTCAAATTCTGGATATATGAAGACGATATACCCATGTTTATTGGTACACCCTACATATATATTCACCGTCCACAATATATTTGAAGTTCTCCCGAGCTGAAGAATAAATTTAAATTTAGAACATTCATGTTTATATTTTTCACAATTTTACATCATTCTATTTCCGGGAAATCCTATTTTCCTTAATACAGGATATTTGTGGAATCACATTTATATGACGTCACACATTGATGATTCTTAATTTTAACTTTCATGTTGTCTTCCTTGAGACCTATGCTTTTCTCAATTTAACTGTAAATAGTGCCTTATTTGTATCTTATTCAGCCATTTTAAAATTACTATAATTTTGAGTCTTACTTTTAATTTTTGTACTTTGAAACCATCAAAAACTGAAATTTACTTTTTAACCCAAAGGATGTCCTCATTCATCTGAATGTATCAGCTCTGATTTATTGATTGAACATCTATATTATCAGGCCATGTCCTAATTCATCTGAATGTATCAGCTCTGATTTATTTCTTTTTAACCCAAAGGAATTGAGTTTTTGTAACAAACTCTGATTTTCCAATTTCAATATAATTGCAACCCAATGTCGTAGACCTTTTATATTTCAAACTATGAATGCTATAAGATCAAATAATGTAAGTTTGAAATATCAAAGGCTTACATAATAAGGTTACAGAGAAATAGGTGTTGCAAAAACTGAATTTGTGGCAAAGACTCAATTCCTTTATATGATATCTATCCTTACAATGATATTCTATGTTTCTAACTCAAAACTTAACTTTGATTCGCGTGTATTTTGCATTCAAGGAAAAGTGAAAAAATGTCAAAAAGTTTTTGCTTACTTTGATAATAGTTATTGGTTTTAAAAGGAGTGGCCAGCAATGTATGGTGGTTGAACTGAGATTACAGTATTGTAGAGAAATGCTTTAAGATTCATTCGAGACAAAAAAACCTTTTAAAATCTATAATTACTGAGTTTGAGCACAAAAGTCGACACTCAAAATCATCAATTGGGTGGATACATTTTGAGAATCGTTTTTTTTAAATTATGAAATGACGACGATAAAAATGTAACAAAAGTTTTAAAGTAAACTAATTAGTTGTTTAGAAACAGGTTGAGAACAAAAACTAACTATTATTATCGAAAATAAGTGATCTGCTCCAATTATTAGTTTCTATAATCTCTCATTATTCACAAAGATTTTCTGCAGATTTTCTGGAATTTTTATTTGAAAAGATGAATTTGAGGAACTTGCTGAAATCTGCGAACAAATTTATAGAAAATTCAGTATAATGATGAAAACGATATAATCGATTCTAGCATTGATTTACTAACAAATTTCTTTTGAGAAATATATTCCTAAACATTTAATTAGTTTACCGTAGAATTTTACTTTATTTTTTGTCGTTGCTATTTAATGATTTAAAAAAAAACGATTCTCAAAACGTATCCACTCAAAAATATGATTTTGAAAGTCGACTTTGCGTTCAAACTCAGTACTTATAAATCTTTAAAAAGTGCGATGTGTCTCAATTGAATCCAAAAGAAATTCTCTACAATACTGCAATCTTAGTTCAACCACCATACATTGCCGGTCACTCCCTTTAATGGTACTTTTGTAAATCAATTATAGAACTGTACGTAATTGCTTTGCAATCCCATAAAGATCAGAGGATTAAAATCGTTTTATGTACTTGAAAACCATGATTTCTCCGCTCTATAAAACTTTGCTTCGCATACCATTTGACATTAAATTTTGAATAATTGCCTAACATTCTAACACGAACGATTATTATAGACAGAAATCTAAAAAAATTAAGAATATATGAGGCCTTTTTATGAAACTTATATGTGTTTTCTTCTGAACTTATTATCTTCAAATCTTTATTTTAGAAAAAGAAGCTTATGTATTTTTATGTAAAATATATCTAATTTAGTGCAATTTTAAACCCTAGTGTACCATTCTTCCTCCAGCTGTGGAGAAAACTAAGAATCGAAACATATCAATTCTATTGCATTTTCTTATATCGTGTACAATTGTGTAGACATGAAGCTCAATGTTATAGTGTCGTATGTCGTATGTCGTATGTCGTAATGTCGTAAAAGAATATAATCAAATTTTATTTATGCATCTTTACTAAGGAACTGAACACTTGTCTCAGTTGCTAATCACTATCTCTTTGGATCATGGAGGAGTAAACCCTGCATATTTCAAGCTCTGAATTATTGATTTTAAAATAATTCACAGCTCATGGATATAAGAGTTTGAGGCACGTGTTCAGTTCAGATTTATATTTATGTTTGGAAATGTGCGTTTGTTCAAACTATTGAATAATGTTTAAAATTATTTAACAATTTTAAAATTCAAACCAAAGAATTTGAGTCATTTACACAAACTCACATTTTCTAATCCCTATATATTCACCCCCGAAGGATAAAGGATTATGAAATCAGAGTTTGTGGCAAATACTCAATTCCTTTATTTTTCAATCACATTTCCCCTTGGTCATAAGGGACTGTAAGCGTGATTTCAAATTGATCCTTATGTCTAAGCTGGTAATGCCCACTTCACCATTAGTTACCCGTCTGATCAAGTATGAATTAGATATCAACATTTTTATTTTGAAAACTGATTATTTTCATTGTGGTTTCTCTGCAAAAAGAACAGCATTCAACCTAAAAAAACGGCCCTATCTTCCTTATAATGGATCAGATAAAGGTTTTGAGTAGCATTGCCATTTTAACATGGAGGTCACAAAACAGATAAACAGATTAGAATTAGACACTTCCTTTTAAATATTTTAAAAAATAAATGACAAATTTAGGAAATTTTATAAAAACTATTTTTTTGTGACGGCGAATTTAAATTTTACTTCTGGACGAGCTTATCACTTCTGGTGCATCATATTTTCATGTTTTTGTAAAAAATAAAATTTAAAAAATAATTTGTAATTTTGGTTTTTAAAGTTCCTTTTTGATTCTAGTGTTTATGTCTCTTATATTATATCATTATATGTAATTATCATGTTTATCCTGTGTCTTCAAACGAAAGTAAAATATATCTTTAAAAAATGTTCATTAAGGCCTTCAATCATCAATAATTTTGATGGATTAATTTAGTAAAATAAACCAAAAACAGCAAAAAATAATTGTATAGTGTTTTTTTTACTGCAGCGGTTTTCAAGTCGTCTTTTCTCGTGGAAATATTGTTAAACTAAAAATGTCGCAGATTTTCTGTTCACAATAAATTTAAAAACTTAAAAAATTCAAGCAAACTTTTTTATTTTTAAACTACCATTATAGCCGTAATTGTAATGTTTCAAAGTAATTCAAGTAATCAAATTATTTTGTGTAATTTTTGTGACCTTGCATGGTTGTAAAGAATATTTATTACATTAGTTAACATTTGCATGCTAATTTCAATCTAGAAATTTCAAATTTATACCTTACTTTATCATTAAAGGGAATGCTAATGGAAATAAAATAAGATCTGATTTTTTAGAAAACAATCATCTTTTTTATTTATGAACAAGGAACACGGTCAGATAATATTATAAAGATATGATTGGATGACTGATCATAACTCATGAACCTCAAATTTTGATTTAGAAACTATGCAGATACAAAGGATTTGTTCTTAGCTGATTTAACTTTAAAAACGGAAGTTTAATTTGTGCATAAAAATGATTCTGTCAGATTCGCTAAATTCGGAATTTTTGCAACTGATCAAGATAAAAAAACTGCAGCTCGGACACTGAAACACTGAAACAAATTAGTGTAAGTTGTATGATCAGTGCATAAAAAGGGTAATGTTATGTAATTGCCAAAACTGTAGCTTAGGTTTTGTTAAGATGAAGTAAGATTTGAAATGACATTTAGAAATCTGGAAATCATTCCTTTGATGGACGATAGTTTCATCTTTTTCTGATATCAGCTCTGATTAATTGATTGAACTTCTATATTATCAGGCCATGTCCTAATTCATCTGAATGTATCAGCTCTGATTAATTGATTGAACATCTATATTATCAGGCCATGTCCTAATTCATCTGAATGTATCAGCTCTGAATTATTCTGCGATGGTAAAGTTAACTGCATCAGTAATAGTTTAGGTAAATAAAGGTTTATAAAGAAAAACTCCAATATTATGAACAAAATGTTTATTCTTAAAAAGAAATATTTTAATATTGATTCCTACAGTGCTAACTAGAAAACTCTAGAACTGAATGATGACTTTATAACTCAAGTTATGAATTTAAACAATCCAATGAACATAAGGCCCACAAATTGTGTAGTGTAAACTGACCCATTTTCTTAATAAGAGACTTTGTATAACACCAACTTTAGTATTGCTTTAATGTCGTCATCCTATTCTACAGTGTTATGGTAATCACTGTATATTATCAATATTCTTTATTAATTATCAACGTGTACACATCTTGAAGGGATCGCCTACTCCATAGTTACTATACGCTTATAGTTTAAAGTAAATAATTACTATACGCGAGTTTGAAGTGACCCTACACTGAAGGAGTGCCATCAACGATTTAAACTCGTTGATGGTGGTAAATTATCATATTCTCCGCCAACCATGTACATGAAATTGATTCGCGGATTTTTGCACCTGAGCTGAGAAGAGTAAAAATTGGCCGAAATTTGTTTAATTCCACGTATTTCTCGTTGCTCCTTATATAAAGATTTAAAGGTTCTCATTGGGAAATGATAAAAGCACACTCTAATAAAAGGATCATCTCTTAAATATTTTTGATGGTTTATTTTTCAGACGAGGACAGTAGGTTTTGTCCTCACTTAGAGGCTGGTGGACTGACAGAATCCCCAATAGGTCAATTTTTAAAACGTTTTAATATTTGGAAAAAATAACGATTCAATTAATAAAGTAGGTTGAGATTTAAAATTTTATCATGGCAATAAAATCATATGAAATGATTTCTTTTATTATCAGGAATTCCCTTGATTTTAATTATCTGTGTTGTTCTAGTCGTCTTCATTACCTTCACCTTCTTTGCTGTAAAGGTAATAATGTCGTCTTTTTTCTTGACGTCATCTTCAAAATGTTTTCATAAAGTCATCTTTGCATAACTTATCTTTGCACATATGTTTTCTTAATTGTTAAAAGGTTATTGTTTTCTTAAATAGTTCTTATTGTCAGGAAGGTTTAAAGCGTATGAAAGGTATGCCCGGGCCCCGTCCTGACCGGTCAGTACAAGATCAGCTGCCTGCCGGTCAGCAGCTACTCAGCTGCTCCGCCCCTCCGCCAGATTCATGCGGAGACCTCCCACCATTTCCGCCTTCATACGCAGAGGCTGTAGGACAGTTTTCAGAGGTTATTGATATTATTATTATTATTATTATTATTATTGTTATTATTATTATTATTATTATTATTATTATTATTATTATTATTATTATTATCTAAAAATATAATTTTTAGGCTTTTTTTATTACCTTTAACAATAATTTGAATTAATAAGTAATACTTTTTTGATTCTAAAGTTTATATTGCCATCTTTGTCCAATTCTTTAAATATCGACAATTCAATTAAAGATTTTACATCTGAACAATAAAGCTCTTCTCTCATATATATATGTCAGCTATTGCTGGCCAAACGGCAGGACCAAAATGTCTAAATTTTTTGAGGTAACACATGGGAAACCCGAAAAAATCAAAGTTTCTTTCAAATTTATTTTTAAATGATGTATAATTACTGAGTTTGAGTGTAAAGTCGACGTTCAAAATCATCCATTTGGGTGGTTAAGTTTTGAGAATCGATTTTAAAAAAATTATTAAATAACGACGACAAAATTAATTAGACGTTTAGGAAGATATTTCTCAATTGAAATTTTCTGAATGAATCAATGTTAAATTGTTTCTTTTCATCATTATATTGAATTGCTTATTTTTATGAATTTGTCCGCAGATTTATAAAAAATCCTTTAAATGTCGTCTTTTCAATAAAAATTCCAGGAAATCTACAGAAAATGTTTGTGAACAATGACACAATACAGAAACCAGTAACTGAATAAGATTACTTATTTTCGATGATAATAGTTCATTTGTATTTTTTCAGCCTGTTCCTAAACAACTACTAATTGTACTGTAGAATTTTCAAAGTCTAAAGAAAGTAAAAATAATATATCCGGAGAAATATGTTTTTTCCTTCTTATTAACTAAAAAGAAAAGGCAATTTCTAGAATTTGAAGCAAATTCGGAACTGAGAAAAGTTTATCAAATCAAGTGTAAATGACTACACCAACCACTTAAGATTGAAAAAATAAGTTAGAAATAAAATAAAATATCTTTACCTGTTCTCTAATACAGGGTGACCCAATAAACATGGGAATTCAATGACGAATTCGATATCGTCTTTTTAAATAATTCTTTGATTAAGTATAGTGATACCTACTGTAAAAGCTGTGAACCATAAGATTTTCATCTTCTATGTTTACAATTTGTTTGTTTATGTTTTGACTGCATACGGTTGTACTTAGTAAAACACGGAAACTACAGTTCATCTTGCGGAGACATTATAGACACATCTTTACAGTCTTTAATCCTAGTCATAAAATAAACTCTAGTAGACATAATAATATTATGACTTTTGAAATCAGGTATTACAGGGTGTCCCAAAAACATGGAAATTCAGTGACGAATTCGATATCGTCTTTGTTATGCATTAGCATTGTAATACCTATTTTCAAAAGCCATAATATTTTTATTTTTGCTAGAGTTTATTTTATGAAAAGGGTAAAAGACTGCAAAGATGTGTTTATAATGTCTCCGCAAGATGAACAGTGAAGACGGACAAGTTTATTCTGTTTGTATACTGCAATTTTCTTCTTTTACTAAGTACAACCGTATGCAGTCAAAACATAAACAAACAAAATGTGAACATAGCAGACGAAACTCTTACAGATTACAGCTTTCTCAGACAATTCGTCAATGAATTCCCATGTTTATTGGGACAACCTGTACAATGTTACTTTATAACAAAGACGATATCGAATTCGTCACTGAATTCTCATTGTTTTTTGGGACACCCTGTATCTGTGAGCAGAGCCTGACTAGGTATTATTAAAACAGACATTCATCTTTATATAACATAATCAATAACACAGAATCTAATCGTAAAGTTAGATTATATGTTACTTCATACAATATTCTTTTCTATTACATAATGCTTCTTGTTATATCATCCTTATCATATTTCATATTTTTTATCCCAATTTTCTTTTTTCAAAGGTTAGGTCAGACACAGTTAAAAAAAGGTAAGATTTTTAAAATTGACAGAAACTTTTGATGATAAAAGGCAAGTACCGATAATATATTTGTTAATAATTATTATAAAACAACCGGTTGTAATCTTTACCCCCACTTATTGTGGTGTACACCACAAACGCATTAACAAACTACACAAAATGCACTCATGACACGCAATGCATTAAAAAGTTAAAATAATAGAGACAGACAAATTTACTTCTTGTCACTAGAGCTTGATCCTAAACTTTCCGTGAAGGCCTTTGACTAGGTTACAAAATTGACATTTCATACAATGAAAGAAAGATTATAAAAAGAAAATGAAAGAAAATTTTAGATCTGAAAATATAACTTAGTGAGCCTCCCCCTGGTCCCTTCTCTCTCTCCTTCTTGGTTGCTTAGTGAGCCTCCTCCCCCTGGTCCCTTCTCTCTCCTTCCTGGTTGCTTAGTGAGCCTCCCCCTGGTTCCTTCTCTCTCTCCTTCCTGGTTACTTAGTGANAAGGCCTTTGACTAGGTTACAAAATTGACATTTCATACAATGAAAGAAAGATTATAAAAAGAAAATGAAAGAAAATTTTAGATCTGAAAATATAACTTAGTGAGCCTCCCCCTGGTCCCTTTTCTCTCTCCGTCTTGGTTGCGTGGTGAGCCTCCCCCCTCCCTTCTCTCTCTCCTTCCTGGTTGCTTAGTGAGCCTCCTCCCCCTGGTCCCTTCTCTCTCTCCTTCCTGGTTGCTTAGTGAGCCTCCCCCGGCCCTGGTCCCTTCTCTCTCCTTCCTGGTTGCTCAATGAGCCTCCTTCCCTGGTCCCTTCTCTCTCTCTCTTTCCTGGTTGCTTAGTGAGCCTCCTCCCCCTTGTCCCTTCTCAGAGAGCCTCCTCCCCCTGGTCCCTTCTCTCTCCTTCCTGGTTGCTTTAACCCTAAACATTAAAGTTTTTTTTTTTATGATCAGACCTTGAAAAGTTGGACTAGGGACATATATCACACTCCCCTATCTAAATTCTAAGGCAGTTTTTATAGGGGGGGGGGTGGTGTTTTCCACCTCCCAGTGATTTTGCCCTTACCTAACCAATCTATATTAGACAAAAAAAGACCAATATACTGAACCTAGTATGGCTAGTTTAACAGCTTTAGTAGTCTTGTCAAGGATTAAGGTAGAGTAGTTGAACTGACCATCCCTGTTGAACTACTCTTTTTTTTCATCCGACCCCTGCTGCAGTTTTTTTTTTTGCATTCAAACTAAAAAGTGTTTTTGAAGTCTTAATTTTATTGTTTTTAATGGACTTTATAAAATATCCTTTTCCCTTGGTTGTTTTCGTATCCAGCTGAATAGGAGTTGGATTGAAAACAACATCTCATATTTTATAGAAGACATGAAATGAAATATTTTTGCAAACATATCATTCCTCCTCGGCAACAGCATAGATATACTTGGCTTTGATAAAGTACAGACTTTTAATATATTTCTCTAAACCTTAGGAAGAACGTCAAGTTCTAATAGTTTATAGAACCCATCTTGTAGTAGTTTTGGTTTTTGAAAAAAAGTATTTTTAGCTTGATTTTTATGTTATGTAAAACATTTTTTAATTTTCTACAACATAAGTCATTTTAGCTTGAACTTAATGTTACAGTAAAAATTCGATTTTCCCTGAATTTGATGTTTTGTATGGTACACAGAAAAATTTTCATAGTTTTTATCACAAATTTTACAATGTTAGATTACACTAGATGTTGATAATTTTGAAATTACTACTCACACGTTCACTGAGTTTGAATTGTCTGGACAAAATATTAAAACTAAGGCAATTTAAGTTTGGAAAAAATTCAAGGAATGCAATTTTTAATTATTATTTATGTATTTTTTACATTGTATCCATAGAGAATATCATTTTATAGAAAATCTAAAATTATTGTTGAAAGAAACCCAAATTATTAAATTGGCTGGTTTCATAATTGACCAATGATCATTTCACATAGACTCTATGTCTTTCACTTTACAAACGATGATTTTCCGTTATAACTATAAATCAAATGATGTTTTTTATTCACCTAATTCATTATAAAGTTTATTTAACAGCTTTAAAAATTTTGAAATTGAAATGGATTATCTAGGGAACACACTGTATTAATGTACTCTACTACATATAATTTGTGAACATTTACATGATTTGTACACTTTGAACTCCCTTTCAGGCTGAAAGGGACTGAAAAAATTCATACCGAGAGATTCTTTTAATTCCTCTCTCTAATTCTATTCTCTATGATTGTATCTTGTATGTGTTCATCGACATATGCGAAAGAACAAGTGTGTTGTTCTTTCGATGAGAAAACCTTACCTTAGGACAAATATTTTTCAAAAAAGGTTTTATGTGATTGGTAGGGAACGGCTTTACTAAACAATAATGTTATATACACTTTACACTATACAGAAGTATAACAATTTTTAAGAAAAGCTTATACCAAACAACTTATTTAAAAAGGGGAGGGGGGTGAACATTCGCTGTTGCACCCCCATTTCAGAAGAAAGTGGGTTGCACGTCCCCTTCCACCCCTCCTTGAATATGTGCCTGGGGAAGACTTATATCAAGATATTGTTCCTATCTAACTTGCATCATAGGAATGTTCCTTACTCCTCAATCAATATTGCAATATTGTTCCTAATTTACATGCATCTATAACTTTCTTAGTAATTTATTTTTGTTCTTCACTTGCTTTTTGTTCCTATTATTGACTATTTTTCTAAATTCATGTACAGAATGAATGACGTTTTTGTGCATATTTATGTTTGCAATTTTTGTTCCTTACTTAATAAACCTGCAGGATGTACCTTTATGTATTGATCATTATTTCATGTTTGACGAATTTTGTTCCTAATTCCTAATTCTTTCTTTTTTGTTCCTAACTTGTAACTTGCTTGATATTCCTATTTTTGTTTCTATTCCTAACACTGTGTTCCTAGATCCTGAATCCATTTCTTAAATCTTTTATGTTTGTTCCTAATTTCTTATCAGTTTTTTATTGTTCCTTATATTATGCATTTTATTTATTGTTCTTGTTCTTATGTTCTTCGTGCATGAATAAAACTCCTAGTTTTTTGCATGTTCCTGGCTGGCTCAATTGTCGATGTTTCTCATTTGATGTTCCTAATCTAGTTCTTCCTTTTTTGTTCCTAACACAACCAACATATGTTTTATTGTATTTTTCCTTTTTAAACCTATTGTTCATAGTTCTATTTTTCTTAACCTCTTTCCAAAAATCCTAAATTGATTTACTATACCTGTTTTTGTTCCTAATTTTATAAACGTATCTTCTTATCTATGATTTGATATACTACTTTGTTTTTGTACTTAATATCATAAATATGGCTTTCATCGTTAATTTCTTATATGTTCCAAACCAGTAAAGGAATTGAGTCTTTGCCACAAACTCTGATTTTCTAATCTCTATATCTTTAGATTCAAACTATGAGTTCGAGTAGATCAAATTATATAAGTTTGAAATATCAAAGGTTTATGACATTGGGTTCCAAAGAAATTGGGATTAGAAAATCAGATTTTGTAGCAAAGACTAATTCCTTAGTTTATTAATTAATTTAGCTGGCGGATATAACAAACGACTTTACGCTCTACTTAAAAATTGTACGCCGAAAAAAATGTATTATTGGTATGAAATAAAAAGTTTTATCTACAATAACGGCTTAAATATGTTACATAGCCGTTCTCTAACTTTAACACTACTCCCCCCCCCCCCCCCCCCCCCCAAGTCTGTGCACTTTTTGTTTTTGCACATTTTTAACTTGATATTGCAATAAATATTTGAAATTTTGCAAAGGAATTGAGTTTTTGCAACA